CAGATATCAGTGTTACAAAATCTCAAGGGTTGCCGCAAAGAAGAGGGAGTCAAGCTGTTCTCCAGGGCGCCTGAGTGTAGAACAAGAAGCAAGGGGTGGAAACTAATCAAGGAGAGAAGCAATTTACAACTGAGGAGAAATTTCCTGACAGTTAGAACAATTAATCAGTGGAACAGCTTGCCTCCAGAAGTTGTGAATGCCCCAACTCTGGAAATCTTTAAGAAGATGCTGGATAGCCATTTGTCTGAAACGGTATAGGGTTTCCTGCCTAGGCAGGGGTTGGATGAGAAGACCCCCAAGGTCCCTTCCAACTCTGCTATTGTATTGTATTGTATTGTATTGATACTGGACCTGGGTAAGGAAATGTCATGTGTTCTGTATTCCAAGGCTTGGCCCTACAGGTACTAATAGATTCCTGCCATGCACTCTGGAAAATTAGAGTAGGACAGAAATTGGCGTATTATAATGGATTTGGAAATTGAATATGACCATGTAAAAAATATCCTGAAACAATCTGATCAAGATAGGTGGACAAACAGACAGAATCAAAGCAAAGTTTTTGCAAGCATGGTAGCTAGTCACTTGGTATATATTTTCCCAAAGAACCCAATATTTTCAAAAGTACCACTGGTTGTTTTTTTAATTTTTGCTTGCCTTGATCCTTTCCTATTAATTACCCTTGAGAACATATATTTTGAAGTTCCCCTATGTAAATAGAGATTCTCTCCATGAAGGGGATGTGACTTGACCTGCCCATATATTTCTATGCTGATGCCTATATATGTTATGCAAACTCAATGAACTTTGCTGGCCCTTTTGATGAAAAATATTCTGATTGCTCCAGATGGCATTTCTATAAAACATTTACTTGAAAATAAAGATCCCAAAATTAACTGGCATGTAGCAAAATCCTGTTCAATAATATGCCAAATGCAGAAATACAGGAATATCAACTTTAGTTAGATATGTAAGTACTTTAGAATATATTGTANGCCACTCCCACCAGGTCACATGGCTGGCAAGCCACTCCCACAAAGGAGGCCACACCCACAGAGTAGGTTCGGAAAAAAATTGAAACCCACCACTGCCCTGCACTTACCTGGCATGATGAACGCAGATTCCTGGGCGGGGAGGGGAGGAGTGGGCGGTGCGAGCCAGTCCTTCCAACTACTGGTTCGATGAACCAGATGCGAAATTAACATCTGGTTCACCCCAACTGGTCTGAACCGGCTGAATCCCACCTCTGGTCATAAGTCGAGGAGTTACCTTTATTGAACTGGGTTTCCATTATTTTCAGGTTTATGATCTGCTGCCTTTGACGGACCTCAGGGGCTATTACTACAAAAGTGAGAACTTGGAGGACCCAGACACAAACCCCTGCGTGCCCCCCAAAAAGATCATTGTGGACGGAATTCGCTACGAGACTGATACCTATTCTTACGGTGAAGGTGACGCCTATACAATTCTCAGGGTAAGCACCCCCCCCCCCCCCACTCCCCAAACTCTTGGCAGAACTTGGGATTCCCCTCCGGGAGTTTGTTAGGAAAAATCAGACATTTTAGGCTCCATCCCAAGAGCAAAGAAGGTATTTTAAAAAAAACACACAATTACTTAATAAACAAACGATGAAAATGAGTGAAAATAGGGGCATTAAAAAAAAAGAAATAAAAAAAAAATGCACCAATTAAACATTCGGAGATAATCCCCATCAAGGAGAAAAAGTGGATGGATGCTGCAGGGACAGATAGGTGGCTGGTTAAACATGGGGTGATCACAGAGAAATTGGATGATTGTTGAAAGTGCTTGTATTTAAGCTATTTTGGATTAGGGAGGTGCGGGTCCAGTGGTGGCTTTTCATTTTTTTTTACTACCGGTTTCCTCCTGCACACGCGCATGTGCAGAAGTGTCTGGACCCATGGGTGGAGACTCCCGCTGCTGCCATCACCGGTTTACCCGATCCGGGCCAAACCAGGAGCAACACAACTCTGTGTGGGTCACCATAAATGTAGCTTATTTTAATCTCCACATTAGAACATGGAATAACAGAGGTGGAAGGGACCTTGGAGGTCATCTAGCTCCACCCCCTGCTCAAGCTTATGCCATTTCAATCTCGTCTTAATAGCCTCCAGTGATGGAGCACCCACAGCTTCTGAAGGCAAACTGGTTAATTGCTCTGACCATTAGGAAATTTCTCCCTAGTTTTTCCTGGATTTCTTTTTTCTGGAAAAAAGAACAATCACTTTTTTTTTTTTTTTTTTGCTTTCATTCCCAGTTCTCCCTGATATGCAGGAATTTGGGGCAGAATTGATTTTAAGTGTGGAGGCTGCTGACATACAACGACAAAATGTTTTTTTCTCTTTCACTTCATGACATGGATTTCCCCAAAGTTAGCTTTTAAAAATACCTAACATGCAGAGCTACAGAAAACCAGGAGCTTGGTACGGGGTGCGTGTGTGTGTGTGAAATCAACTTACCTTCGCTACCGGTTCACAAATGTGAGCGCACGCACCGCCTCTGTGCATGCGCTGAACCTTCGATTTCCGACGATCGGCTGTGGCGCGCAATTTAAATTAGCTAGAAAGCAGGAAATCCGACGATTCTAAGCTAATATAAATCAGGCGTCACAGCTGATCGTCGGAAATACCTGTTCATCCGAACCGGTAGCATTTTTTTCCCCCACCAGATGCGTTTTGTAGTGTACGCAGATTTATTTTACCAAGAGACGGTAGCCACTTCGTACCCCTTAGGTATCTGTATCCACATGATATTTCTTTGGGTTGGATTTTGCAAATCTGTTCCCGTGGAAATCAGTGGCAGATTTTCTTTTTTATTTGTGGTGTTTTTTTTCGCCTTGGAGGTGTTGGAGATCAACCTCAAGCTGAAGAGGGCTGGGTTTTCATTACGGTGGGCTGATTCCCAGCCTTGGTGGCATAATTTTGTAAGGTTTTGACACATTGACCCTCTATGGTGGCCTAGTGGTGAAGACGCTCGCCTCCTACTCGGAAGGTTGAGAATTCAATCCTAGGAAGTGGCAGGTGTTTCTCTCTTAGAGAAGGAAAACATATCTACTGCAAACTTCACGTGGCATCAGGAAGGGCATCTGGCCAGTAAATGCTCACCTCCATCCAGCCACCCTGATTCCACCCTGAATTAAGCGATTATACTAGGGTGGTAAAAAGGGAGCGTTGTTGTGTTTTTGGCACATTTTCAGAATGAAAAGCGTGCCTTGTCACATCCATCTTTATTTTCTAACCACTTTATTACAGCACTCCAGGTGGATTATAGATGGAGGATATAGATGGATAGATCGAAGGGTAGAGAGAAAGGGAGAGGAAGGGGGAATGTCTTTTACATGCTTTCTGTATTATTTCATGGTCAATTTCTGCTCATTTTACAGGACATTGGTTTCAAGACATTTACCAGTGCCCAGATATACAAGCCTAACATTTGCAGCAGACCAGAGCGTCACTGTAAGAATCTTTATTATTATTATTATTATTATTATTATTATTATTATTATTATTATTATTATTATTATTATTATTTTAATAATTAAAAAAAAACTGTAAGAATCTGAAGGGGACCAATAGGGTGGAAGTGGGGGATTCCTCTAATTATTTATTGATTGCACTTGAAGATCAAAAAATTCAAGATAGTTTCTACAACAGCGCCGTTAAAGCCCTGTCTCTTCTTTATGTCCATAAGATGAGGCAGGATAGGAAGTCTCTTGACGCCTTTGGTGTTGGATGAGAGTCCTGAGGACAGCTTGCTGGGTGGGCGTGGCCAAGGTGGGCATGGCCTAGCCAGCCTCCTGCACCATGGTGGCAGGGATGTTTTCACCTTCCGCAGGCTCCGGAGGCTTTCCTTGAGCCGCTGGGAGGGGAAAAAACTCCTCCCGTGAGAGGGCCGTTTCTCCCCCCTCTATCTGGGTCCTGTACTTACTGGGCTGCGTGGAGACTCCAGGGAGGGGAGGGGCGGAGTGAGAGGGGTGAGGCAGGGTGGGCAGGGCGGGGCCAGCCAGAGATGGGATTTGGAGGTTCTCCAAACCGGCCATAACGTTAGCTAAGGGTTCTCCCGAACCCGGGTGAACTCGTAGCAGCCCGTCCCCGGATGAATCATTGAATAAATCAGTTCCAAGTTCTCACTTGGGCACAAAGGGTCGTCTCAAACTATCATATTATATAAAAACCTAGCTTTCTTGAGAAGACTCTCATGCCAGGAAAGGTGATGGAAGGAATGAGAAGACGTGGGCAAGAAGCAGCAAGGGGGATGGGCTCTGTTACAGGGGTGATGGAGGGGCTGTTAGAAAAACTGGAGGACTCTGTTAGGGACTGATTGTCAAGCAGAATTTCTATGCAAGGGGTCCCCAACGCCCAGTCTGTGGACCGGCACTGGTTCGTAGCATGCCAGCAACCAGACCGCACAAAGAAGCGAAGCTCCCTCCGCGGTATGCAGGCAGCATGCAAAGCCACGCCCGCTCCGGTCCGGAGAAAAACGTTTCTCCACAGAACCAGTCCTGGTGCCCAAAAGGTTGGGGCCCCGCTGATCTATGTAGTTAGTAAGAATCAGCAAAACGCAAAGGCTCAGTGGCTTAACAATGCTGGAGATGGTGGTTTAAGTCCTAGCACTGTGTGACTGTATGAGCTCCCATCACTCTGTCCACCTTAAAGTTCCAAAGCATGTTCTATGCGAGTAGATAATTAGGTACCACTTCGGTGGGGAGACGAGGTGGTGCTCCATGCGGGCAGTCAGATTCCTGCTGGCTCTGAACCTACCCAGTTGCAGCAACCATTTGCAAGGCAACTCCCAAGAAGGGAGGGGGCTTTGGGTAAGGCAGCCACTCGTGAAACAAGCTCACCCTCCTTTGGCACACTTTGGGAAGCATGCGTCCTATAACAGAGGTGGTAAATTGGCAAGCCAAATTACAACTGTGCAATAGCATTGTGATCTCCGGGCTAAAGTTAAAATCAGGGTGAGGGTGAGGGTGAGGATAAGGATGATAAGGATAAGAGGATAAGAATAAGAATCAAATTGATGACATATCACCAATCAAAGATTATATGTCTTGGTTGCTTGCTTGATTCATCTTGAAGAACACCTTGGACATGCTAAAATGCAAAAGGCATGGAAGAAATGCAAGCTGTTTCTCTTTGCAGACCCAATGGCCTACATGGAAAGGGGTCCAGCTAACGCAAGACTTGGAGGAATGAGCATGGACAACAGCGCAGAACCAGTGGAAACAACTATCCGGCGCTTCTTCCCAGAAACCTGGATATGGTCCTTAAAATCTCTTGGGTAATCCAAAGATTCTATCTTTGGCAGAATGGGTAGCTCTTCGGGGAGAAATGTTAACACCTTACAGCTGCTAGTAGATACTGTATATATTTGTAGATGTACTCATAGATAAGAGCCTCTCCTCGGTGGTTGGTGGTCGTAAGTCGAGGATGACCAGTATTTATTTATTTATTTATATGTCACATTTCCAAACTGCCCATCTTAACTTAACAACCATTAGGGAGTCCAAAATTGTTGCTGCTAAGCAAGACCGTTGTTAAGGGAGTTTTGCCCCATTTTATCACCTTTCTTGCCACAGTTGTTAAGTGAATCACTGCGGGGGTTAAGCTAGTAACCCGGTTGTTAAGTGAATTTGGCTTCCCCCACTTACCGTTTTTTTCAGAGTAGAAGACGTACTAAGATTTTGAAGAGACGAATTTTTTTAAAAAAGTTTTTGCACTCTGCAGGCCTCCCAAAAATGGCCCATTTTTTGCGGGGAAAAAAGGGTATGAATAGCGTTTAGGAGGTTTAAAGAGTGCTGCGGGGGGCTGTGGGGCAAAAATGAGCAAAAAACACCCATTTTTTGCTCATTTCTGCCTTCCCCAGCCCCCAGGAATATCCTGGAAGTCTCCTAAAGACAATGCATGGCCATTTTTGGAAAGGAGGCAGGGTTTCGGGGTTCCACCACAAAACCACGTTCGACTAAAGTGCGCTCGATGAAACCGCATAGCTGATGTCATCACAGGGCGACAACAGCGCGGAGACAGAAGCAC